GATTTTTCCCGCGTAAATTCAAAACTCGGGACTATGAGATGCTAGAAAACTAAAATTTTGAGAGAATGTCCCCAGTCCAAGTAAGTTTCAACGAGCTCAAACCCAGGCATCGTGTATGCGTGATACCCGAGTGCGCGCTCGTGAAAAATTTTTTCCAGTTAATTGCTAACTCAGGAGCCAGGAAAGCTAGAAAGCTGAAATATTAAGGAGGTGCTTCCTGCCAGTTTTGGCGGCCAGCCTTAATTTGTTTAGCTAGAAGGATCTGCCGAATAAACCGATGCCGGTGGCCACAAAGACTGCGGGGAACTATGCAAAACACGCCACCGCACGGACAGCCCGTGCATTGGCCAATTATTGCATTTGTATAAATATGCAAAAACGCATAATGAACATTTACGACTGAAGACGAGTGAGATTTACAAACTTATTTCTCCGCGCTACACATTTAACCTAATTTTTTCTTCCACTACAACTGTTCGGCCTTTCACTGGCAATTAATTAATTATTCTCTTTTACGCGAATTGAGTTTCGTGATCGTAAAGTAAAACTAAAAATTTTTCAGAGAAAGGATACATCTAGAACAGGTAATATTGAACTTTTCTTATTCTACGGTTCACAGCATAAACTAACAACAGCACCGTACCTAAAACTTGATAATTTCTAAACATGAAATTAATTATATTCCTCTGCCAAATATTTGGCCCATGTGAACGGAGATGCTTTCTTTTGGTCTTTGATTGATGTTCTTGCCTGAATGTACTGGGAAAATTCTATATACATAAGCAGTCAGTACTGTTCGAGGCGAAGAATAACATTCAGTTCTCTGTATTCAGTCATTCCCATATTATAAGCCAGGAGTCGCCAGCATACTATTACAAAGTTTTGTTACTTCGTTCTCCCCATTCGTCATGCTGCACTAACGGAAAATTTTCATCAGTTGTGCCATATGCACGTAATAGTGAATATTAACTTGCAAAGTCATAAAATTCAAGAAAAATCTTTTTTTTTTGCAAATCATCAAATAAGTAAAGTTGAATTTATCAGAGTCGCAATGACTGGATAAAGTTCAGACGTACGCACCAACCTTAACGCTTTTTCCGGGTCTAAGGATGAAGTCACGTGGCATCGTGTAAACGATTTCCTTCTTTCCGTCAATTTTTCTCTTCAGTTTCCATTCACCAATCATTTCTTCCTTGGCACGATGGGTATTTTGTAGCACGACAAATGTGCCGTCTGCTGCTGCTTCCTGCAAACTATGTTGTGACTTGATCATCACTATTAATTTATGATCAACGGCTGTTACCGAATTTACCATGAAAACAGAAGCTGTCAGCATCCCCAACATAAACGCATATTTCGCATCTGATTTAAAGTCTGTCAGTTCCTTAAAATTGAAATTAAGTCCGTTTCTGAAAATTCTGTGAAAAATTTCTCGCTAAAATTCAAAGAGATTTCAAAATTTGACTAGAAAAATTTTAATTATTTGTGAGTATGGCAAATTAAATATTATCAGTTAGCGTAAGCATCCGCCCCGAGTGCCTCATTTGCAAGGTATTTTGATAACCAGAAAACATCATTTGTGCGTCACGCAAACTGCTGCTGACAATTTTTGACTTTGCCGTCTGTCAACATGACGTTGCTTCCAGGACTGTGTTAGACCAACAATAAGCATTTATAGACATAAAGGGTTCGATATTGTCAAAATGGAACGGTTCCGTCTTAGATTTTGTCTCAGGAACCGATCTATACTCTGCAAATTCAACCCTGATGATTCAGCCAGCACATTATTATCATAAATAATGTTGGCTCATCACTGACAAACAATGACTGTCCGCAACACGAGTTAACTTCCTCTTCATCCCTTCCTTCTCGCACTCTCTCTGTCCCCTCCGTTTCAGTTTTCTTTCTCTTATTCGTCTTGCAAATTAGTCACATGACTGCCCAGTGCACGACAGGTAGGAAGCTGTGCTGATGATTCCCGCTCCTACCCGCATTCAAAATTCGGTCTGTACTTACAGCTAAGGGATGAAACACAGACTGTATCCTAACAAGTTCTCATAACTAGCTTTCTCGGGTATCCGCAGTATCATTTATTTACTTAATAAAACTTGTTTTTTTTCCAGTGGAGGAAACGGAGCACCTGTATGGAAACGTTTCCTTTAGCGGATCTTTGAAACGAAGTACGTGACGCTGCTTCGCCTTTCACAATACGCATCATTTCTGCAAAATCCTCTCAGTTTATTTTACTTCAGTAATCATTTCACTGTGCTGCAGCAGAAGCACACGCAAGCATAAAAATGATTGTCAAAGAGTTGTTAGTGCCAGAGGATCTAAGAAGCATCAACTGCTGACGAATAGAATTTGTTATTTGAAGAAACAGCGATGCTTATGAGTCAGGGTGATACGGTTTTTGGCAAATGCGGATAAATTCCTGATTGAAACGCCAAATTAGGATGACGAGCTAATGATTTCTTTATGCTCTTGGTTGAGGAAATAAGTGCGAACATTACCAGTATCATCGTGTTGACTTAGTTCATGAGTGCGCACAACCTGTTCCACCAGCTGACGCAGTCCAGCACGATTCTCCTCGCCTTCCAACATTTTGCGGTAAATCGCTATTTCAGCATCTAGTGTCTTAAAAAATACGGTTCATTTTGGACAGATCTTGAGATTTCAATTTACAGATCATTATAAGTCCTCAAAAATCATTTGGAATTATATTTTGATTGCGTTACAAAAGATTCTGTTTTAACAAACTGGCGCACTTATTGCCTCAAATATGTGAAATCGAAAAAAATGAAAAGATTTTTCGGGAAGAACAATCAGATAATAATTAATTTAGGAAGTGAAACGAATGTCTAGTTGCGCACTAAAGTGCACTCAGTTATCTATCCAAGCTGGATATCATCAGTTACAGCTGGTCCACGGAAAATCGTTCGTTCTTAAATTTAATATAAGTCACAAATTTTAAGTAATTTAACAGAACATAATAATTGTTAGCTCTTAACCTGTTTCGTGTCCAGCAGCATTTGCAGTTCAACCATTAAAGCTTGACATTCCTCTCGCATTTTCCGAATTTGTGCATCTCGATCATTTAGCGCTGCCTCATAAGATCGCTGGTCGTCTTCTAATTGATAGTTCAGCTCTTGGATTTGTTTCTCTAGCAGCGAATTCTGCAAACAAACTGAATGGTTACCCATTTGGCGCGGCAACTGAATTCGAAAAGGCGAAAGTAAGAAGCTGAAATTTAAAAGCGATTGTGAATCCAGAATCCAGAGATGTGAAATCAATTCCTATGTCCTCCTTCGTCTTGGCGATGGATCTAATTGCGCGCCGCTAAAAATTTCAAATTCTTAGCTCTGAAACTTTTGCGACACGTGAGTCGCAAATTCCACTTATGGAAACTGTATTGTCAAAATG